AGACAATAAGAAACACTACCTGCAAAAAAAAAAAGTGAAGTTTTGTTGAAATCGGTTGAAAATGTAGGAAATCCGATCCCATATACAAACGAACACACACACACACAAACAACCTGTGTTTTATAATAAGTATAACTCGATATGAATTGTCCCCCTTTCATTCTCGCGATGACTCTTAATCGTGTTTTCAAATTGATTTCGTGCAAAAACAATTGTGTTTTTCCAATTTTTGGCGCAGTCAGAACCACCGCCAGGTAATTTTATGTAGTTCTGGGAAGTTTTGTTGAAATCGGTTGAAAAATGTAGGAAATCCGATCCAATTTATAAACGTACAGACACACACACACACACACACAACCTGGGTTTTATAATAAGTATGATTAAGAATATAGTAACTAGGGTCTGCAAATTGGAGGAGAGAGTTATTAATGATAATGTTCTGACTTCAAACCTGTGGATATCTCCTTTTAACGCTCTCGCTCTCTCTCTCTCTCTCTCTCTGGACCTTCTTTGCCGTAGTGATGTGGCACAAAGCATGGCTGATGCTAACCTCCAGGAGCATAACTGCTTGCGTCTTTTCGGGATAACGTTGTCAGCAGACAGGAAGTGGAAAGTCTATATTGAATCTATTGATTGATCAGCTGCTAAGAATGTTGGTTCACTGTGTCATGCAGACAATTTTTCTCTCTAGAATCCTTCTTCTATATTTTTTGTATCTCCAGAATCTATCAAAAAACTCCAACATTCGTCCATGCTTAGAATATTGCTGTCACATTTGGTCCGGTGCTCCTGCTATATATCTGGAGATCCTTGATAAAATCCAAAGAAGAGTCAGCAATATTATTGGTCCTGATCTGGCGCCTCGGTCTCAGTCACCTTCTCCCAGCCGTAAAGTTGGAACCCTCTTTCTTTTCTCTAAATACTTTCATGATAACTGCTTGGATGATCTCTTCGTTATGGTACCTAGACTTTGTGAATTTAAGCACGGGTTTCATCGATATACAGATGACTAGATGTAACCGTAAGTTCTATGCTAACAGTTTCTTTTCTCACTTGTAGAACTCCCTTCCGGCTCCTTGCTTTCCAGCCAACTTTAATCTTCAAAAATTTAAATGCAATGTCAATCGCTATCTACTGTTCTTTTGATTACCCTTCTTCTGTATTCGATCGTTAGTAATGTTTCTGTTTTTTTTTTTAATTCTTCTACACTCAGTAACCCACTGTGAGTTAGTGGCTTTACTCCCTTGCATGGGGTGAACTTGATTAAAATAATGCAATAAATAAACAAACACAAGCAACTGTTTCAGTAATAAGAATTAATAAGAACTTTATCAAGTCATCTGTACACTGTTAGTTACTCGTCAAATGTGAGAGGCCAGCTGAAGATTATAAAGACAAGGTTAAGAAACTTGCTGTCTGAAGCGAATTTGGAATCATACCATTGAAAAGGAACTGTCAGATGAATTGGATGCAGAAGCAATTATTGGTAGATTTGAACAATCATCTGGTGAACAGAAACGATTGCACTTAATATAGTCGACTGCATGCAATGCTTCATTGTACTTTTAAACAATTTTCTAATGTATAAATTGTTCAGTAAGCTATTTAAAACTATCAAACAATTACTTAAAATTAAATAATAACAATAATTCAATAAGAACATTCTGTATTTACATTTGTTATCTACTGCCAGTAATATGTACAGTACATGCAATATTTTACAGTACATATGCATTGTGGTAAATAGGTATCGGCTTGGAATGAGATCTCGGAGTTCGTTAGATTCATTTACGTACAAATACCCTTGGGAAACGTATGAATCCATCTCTTATCCCCAGCTATGGGTTAAATAGCAGGGCAGACTGGGTTCTTTAGCTTTGGTTGGTAACCATTTGGTTTGGTTTGGTTTGACTTATTTTAAGGCATATCAACCTCTATGTGTTATTTAATGCCGACAAAATTTTCATTGTTGGTAATATTTTTTTCCAAAAATCTATTTCTGGTAATATTTTTTCCTTCAAAAATCTATTTCTGGTAAGAATTTTTCCTTCACTGGTAATATTTGTTTTTCAAAAATGTATTGTTGGTATTTTTTTATAAAAGTATTTGTCGTATTAAAACTTATTTTTACACTTTCATATTGTTTTGACCAGAGTTTGGAGGTTAACTATTTGCCCATAGCTGAGACCCTAAACAGATGCTACCACCCCGGGTCAGGGTGGACCTGGGAACACCAGCAATTAAGAGGTGGTTCCATGCTCCTCAAAACCACCTGATTAGAAGCCTTGCTATTGGACGTAGTTTATCGTTTTACCCTGGACGCGGATGTAGTTTATCGTCATACCCAGGACGGGGTTGGTAACCAGTGTACCACAGAAAGAAATGGCAACCGCCTGCGGAAAAAAGTTTTCTGCCTCTTCAGCCATGTATCGAAAGATACATGATCGCCCAAGCGTGAATGACGTGTGGCACTTAACTGACATGTACTATGTAATTAATAAGAAATAATTTTACTGAAAAGAATATTAAAAAGATGTAAATTACATTTATTAAAATATTAGGATTTTCAGAAATTAATTTAGACACCTCTGCATGGTGTAATGGTTAGCCAGCTTGTCTTGTTAGAACAGTTACGGTTAAGTAGTGAGTTCGATCCTCACTGGAACCCCATACTTTCCGACTTGTACCAAATTTAAGCTGCGCTTAGAAAATCTCTGTACAGAAAGTAATTACTTATTACCCTAACGTAAGAATTATTCTGTAATTACAAAGAAATTTTCCACGAAAATGTTAACTGTGTACATTTTTTTTATATGTACATTTTTTGAAAATTTTATTTATTTATTCGTTATGAATATTAAATGATAGCATTGTAGTTGTTTGTCTTCTGGCAACCATTTTTTTTTTCAGACCCACTTTGCTTTTGTAAATGTGTGATGTTTTATCTTGTTTCATCAAACTCTTTCTTCTTCCTTTCCTTATTTTTTTTTTAACAATGTTTCTTAATTATATTTCTCTGTATGATTTGTTATTATTCTCATACATTGAGCTCTCTATCAGTATTTTTACCTGAATATTCATTTTTTTAGGAACTCTTTTGGATTATCCACATAACCAAAGGATTATATATATTTTCTTTGACAATTTCTCGGACATTCAGGCCGGTAAATGTTTCTTAATACTGTTTATTATAAACAGAGCATTTACTTAAATATTTGTATCTGTAAAAAAGAATGTATAAACATAAAAATGTCTTAAAATAATTGTCGGACTTTGTCCATTTCATAATGTGTGACGTCATTTGTTTACATTTGGATACGCATCGAGCAGATATGAATGTACGTGAGAAAATCATGGAAAATTGTAGTCTAAAAACAGTAAAATCGACCTTGTTAACCGAACTCTCCTTTGTGGCTCAATCGGTAAAAGCACGTCAGGCTATGTGACGTCAGGTCCGATTCCTCTCGGAGGACGCATATTTTCTATGACAATTACTCGGACATTCAGGCCGTTAAATGTTGTTAATACTGTTTATTATAAACAGAGAATTTTGTATCTATAAAAAAGAAAGTATAAACATAAAATGTCTTAAAATAATTGTCGGACTTTCTCCATTTCATTATATATATATATATATATATATATATATATATATATATATATATATATATAATTGTTCCTATGCTATCAGTCACGTTTTTGTAATACACTTGTGGATTTTGAAGGATTTAATTTTGTTCTCATCAAATAGTGGTGATTTTACTTTGATTTAATTTTGTTCTCCTCAAATAATGGTGATTTTTCGATAGTTCGATCTTCAACACCATGGGTATTTTATTTCTAGGCCCCTTGATTTGGGTGGAGGGGAACATAGGGCCGTAACATCAACTCTCCAACGGAAGCTCCCTTCAGCTCGGCCCATGTTGTGCAGGCTGCCTTCAACTCTGCGTCAACCAAGTCTGTTTTGGTCCACCCAGTTTTCGCTTCCTTTGTGGATTCCAGTCAAAGGATTGCTTGACACTAGAAGCAGGCTTGCGGTGTGTGTTCGATCCATCTCCAGTTACGATTGGATTATTATTACATTTTTTCAATATGTATTTTTTTTTTTAAATTTTATTTATTTATTTATTTGTTATGAATATTAAATGATAGCATTGTAGTTGTGAGTGGACCCCGTTTGTCTTCTGACAACCATTTTTTTTTCAGACCCAGTTTGCTTTTGTAAATGTGTGATGTTTTATCTTGTTTCATCAAACTTTTTCTTCTTTCTTTCCTTACCACAGTTTTCAACTTTTATTACCACAATACCTTTTTCACCCCTCCATTCTTTGCTCTCAATGTCACCTGCCCAACATGGTAAAAAGAGACTCGAGGCGACATAGATGTGGTCCTACAGAAGGATGCTAAGGATATCATGGACGGAGCATGTTAGCAACACTGAGGTCATAGATAGGTTGCAAACAAAGAGAGGCTTATACTTAACATCAGAAAGAAGCAGCTGAAGTGTCTGGGACATATAATGAGGAAGAAGAGCCTGGAGAATCTGATACTCACGGGTCGAATAGAGGGAAAGAGAGACAAGGGAAAGCAGTGCGTGACATACCTGGCGAGCTTGAGAAGGTGGATGATAGAACATCATTTGGGAGAGTAAGCATATGGAAGGAAATTGCTGAGAGATGCAATGGATAGAGGAGGTGGAGAGCCATGATCGTCTACGTCCTGAAAGGACATGGCAAATAAGAGGGTTTCAAGGAGTAAGTCGAGAATGTGTTTTCTCGAAGGATTTATTCATGCTATACAGCGAGAAACGGTCGAAAGAGAACAGTAAGGCCTGCGAGAAGTTTGGCTTCTGGCTACCAATATTTTCAGACCCAGTTCACGATTGCTACCCTGTATGTGTGTGTGTGTGTGTGTGTGTGTGTGTGTGCGAGAGAGACAAAGACAGACAGAGAGAGAGCTTTATATGGTTCATTATTTTATTCTTTATCTAATTCTAAACCATGAAAAGATGTCAGAACAGAGTTTGTGATATTGTGTGGGCGGTGGAAGCACATATTTCAAATCTCGTTATTAAAAGATAACAGTTCTTTTTTTGGTTACATTCGACAAAGGCGAGTCAGAGAAGATATCTTATTCAATAAAATGCGAATCTTACAAAATGACGTCATTTAGGTTAAGGCAGAGACTTGTTGGCAAACTTTACTGCGCTTTGTCGGAGAATTCGAGATTCATCGAATGCTCGTCTACCGTGGCCTCATGCCAGATAAAACATAATGGAGTAAACATTAAACACCAAATACGGACACTAAGACAAAATCGGATATCATCATAATTCTCTACTCTCCTTCTTTCTTTCTTTTTTTTCTCTTTCTCTTCCTCTCTTCTTCATTCTTTCCTTTCTCTTTCTCTTTCTCTCTCTTCCTCTTCCTTTCTTTATTCTTTTGTCTTTCTCTCGTCCTCCTCCTACATCTTTCGCTTACCTCTCACTTTCTTTTTCTTTCTCTCCCTTCCTTTATCTTCTTCGTTCTCTCTTTCTCTTTCTCTCTTCCTCCTCTTACATCTTCTCTTACCTCCCACTTTCTTTTTCTCTCTCTCTTCCTTTCTCCTTTTATCTTCTTCGTTCTCTCTCTTTCTCTCTTCCTCCTCCTACATCTTTCTCTTACCTCCCACTTTCTTTTTCTTTCTCTCTCTCTTCTTTTCTTCTTTTATCTTCTTCATTCTCTCTCTTTCTCTCTTCCTCCTCCTACATCATCCTCTTACTTCCCACTTTCTTTTTCTCTCTCTCTTTCTTTCTCCTTTTATCTTCTTCATTTTCTCTCTTCCTCCTCCTACATCTTTCTCTTACCTCCCACTTTCTTTTTCTCTCTCTCTTTCTTTCTCTTTTTATCTTCCTCATTCTCTCTCTTTCTCTCTTCCTCCTCCTACATCTTTCTCTTTCCTTTCTTCTTTTTACCTCCCACTTTATTTTTTTTTCTTTCTCTCTTCCTTTCTTCTTTTATCTTCTTTTATCTTCTTCCTCATTCTCTCTTTTCTTTCTTCTTTTATCTTCTTCATTCTCTCTCTTTCTCTCTCTTCCTCCTCAACTTTTCTCTTACCTTTTCTTTCTCCTCCTACATCTTTCTTCTTACCTCCCACTTTATTTTCTTTCTCTCTCTCTCTCTTCCATTCTTCTTTTTCTTCATTCTCTCTCTTTCTCTCTTCCTCCTCCTACATCTTTCTCTTACCTCCCACTTTATTTTTCTTTCTCTCTTCCTTTCTTCTTTTATCCTTTCTTCTCTTTATCTTCATTCTCTCTCTTCTCTCTCTTCCTTTCCTCCTCCTTTCTACATCTTTCTCTTGCCTCCCACTTTATTTTTTCTTTCTCTCTCTTCCTTTTCTTCTTTTATCTTCATTCTCTCTTTCTCTTCCTCCTCCTACATTTTTTTCTTCCTCCCACTTTTTTTTTTTTCTCTCTCTCTCTTCCTTTCTTCTTTTATCTTCATTCTCTCTCTTTCTCTCTTCCTCCTCCTCCTCTTACATCTTTTTCTCTCTTCCTCCTCCTACATTCTCTTACCTCCCACTTTCTTTTTTTCCCTCTCTCTCTCTTCTTTTCTTCTTTACTTTATTTCTCTTTTCCTCTTTCATTCTCTTTCCTTTCTTCTTTTATCCTTCTTCTTATTCTCTCTTTTCTTTTATCTTTTCTCCTCCCTACATCTTTCTCTTACCTCCCACTTTATTTTTTCTTTTCTCTCTTCTTTCTTTCTTTTATCTTCTTCATTCTCTCTCTTTCTCTCTTCCTCCTCCTACATCTTTCTCTTACGTCCCACTTTATTTTTTTTTTTTCTTTTTTATCTTCTTATTCTCTCTCTTTTCCTTTTCTTCTTTTATCTTCTTCATTCTCTCTCTTTCTTTCTTTCTCCACCTACATCTTTCTCTTTACCTCCCTTTTATTTTTTCTTTCTCTCTTTTATCTTCCTTTCTCTTCTTTTATTTCTTTCTTCTTCATTCTCTCTCTTCTTTCTTTCTTTCTCTTTTCTCTCTTTCCTCCTACATCTTTCTCTTACCTCCCACTTTATTTTTCTTTCTCTCTCTTCCTTTCTTCTTTTATCTTCTTCATTCTCTCTCTTTCTCTCTTCCTCCTCCTACATCTTTCTCTTACCTCCCACTTTATTTTTCTTTCACTCTCTTCCTTTCTTCTTTTATCTTCTTCATTCTCTCTCTTTCTTTCTCCTCCTACATCTTTCTCTTACCTCCCACTTTATTTTTCTTTCTCTCTCTTCCTTTCTTCTTTTATCTTCTTCATTCTCTCTCTTTCTCTCTTTCTCCTCCTACATCTTTCTCTTAACTCCCACTTTATTTTTCTTTCTCTCTCTCTTTTCCTTTCTTCTTTTTATCTTCATTTTCTCTCTTTCTCTCTTCCTCCTCCTACATCTTTCTCTTACCTCCCACTTTATTTTTCTTTCTCTCTCTTCCTTTCTTCTTTTATCTTCTTCATTCTCTCTCTTTCTTTCTTTCTCCTCCGACATCTTTCTCTTACCTCCCACTTTATTTTTCTTTCACTCTCTCTTCCTTTCTTCTTTTATCTTCTTCATTCTCTCTCTTTCTCTCTTTCTCCTCCTACATCTTTCTCTTACCTCCCACTTTATTTTTCTTTCTCTCTCTCTCTTCCTTTCTTCTTTTATCTTCATTCTCTCTCTTTCTCTCTTCCTCCTCCTACATCTTTCTCTTACCTCCCACTTTATTTTTCTTTCTCTCTCTCTCTCTTCCTTTCTTCTTTTATCTTCATTCTCTCTCTTTCTCTCTTCCTCCTCCTACATCTTTCTCTTACCTCCCACTTTATTTTTCTTTCTCTCTCTTCCTTTCTTCTTTTATCTTCTTCATTCTCTCTCTTTCTCTCTTCCTCCTCCTACATCTTTCTCTTACCTCCCACTTTATTTTTCTTTCTCTCTTTCTTCCTTTCTTCTTTTTATCTTCATTCTCTCTTTTCTCTTCCCTCCTCATCTTTTCTCTTTACCTCCCACTTTATTTTCTTTCTCTCTCTTCCTTTCTTCTTTTATCTTCATTCTCTCTCCACTTTTTCTCTTCCTCCTCCTACATCTTTCTCTTACCTCCCACTTTATTTTCTTTCTTTCACTCTCTTCCTTTCTTTTTTTTATCTTCTTCTCTCTCTTTCTCTTTTTAAGAACTCCTCCTACATCTTTCTCTTACCTCCCACTTTATTTTTCTTTCACTCTCTCTTTCTTTCTCGTTTTATCTTCTTCATTCTCTCTCTTTCTCTTTCTCCTCCTACATCTTTCTCTTACCTCCCACTTTATTTTTCTTTCACTCTCTCTTCCTTTCCTCTTTTATCTTCTTCATTCTCTCTCTTTCTCTTTTCCTCCTCCTACATCTTTCTCTTACATCCCACTTTCTTTTTCTCTTTCTCTTCCTTTCTCCTTTTATCTTCTTCATTCTCTCTCTTTCTCTCTTCCTCCTCCTACATCTTTCTCTTACATCCCACTTTCTTTTTCTCTTTCTCTTCCTTTCTCCTTTTATCTTCTTCATTCTCTCTCTTTCTCTTTTCCTCCTCCTATATCTTTCTCTTACCTTCCACTTCCTTTTTCTTTCACTCTCTCTTCCTTTCTCCTTTTACTCTCTTTCTCTCTTCCTCCTCCTACATCTTTCTCTTACCTCCCACTTTTTTTTTTCTTTCTTTTATCTCTCTTCCTTTCTTTCTTTTCCTCCTACATCTTCTTCATTCTCTTTCTTTCTCGTTTATTTCTTCATTCTCTCTTTCTCTCTTCTTTTCTCTTTTTATTCTTTCTATTTCTCTTCCTACTCCTCCTACTCCTTTCTCTTTTCTCCGTCTTTCTTTTTCTCTGTCACTCTTCCTCTTCCTTTCTTCTTCATTCATTCTTTCTCTTTTCCTTCTCTTTCTCCTTTCTTTTTCTCTCTCTCTCTTTATCCTCCTTTCTCTTTTTCTCTTCTTCTGTCTATCTCTTTCTCCTTCCCTCTTCCTCTTTTTTCTTTTCATGCTCCTATCTCTCTCTCTTCCACCTCCTCCCCCGTCTTCTCTCTTTCCCACCTTATGTTCTCTCTTTCTCTCCACCATTCTTTGCTTTTCTCTCTTCCTACTTCTTTCTCTTTCCTCCTTTTTTATCTCTCTCTCTCTCTCTTCCTCTTCCTTTCTCTTTTTCTCTTCTTCATTCATTCTTTTTCTCTCCTCTTTCTCCAGTTTCTTTCTGTTTTTTCACCCTTTCTCTCTCTATCTCTTCGTGTTCCTTTCTCTTCTTTCGTCTATCTCTCCTTCCCGCTTTCTCTCTTTCTCCCTTTTCTATCTTCCTGTCTCTTTCTTCCGCCTCCTTTCTCTTTCTCTCTTTTCCTCCACCTTTTTATTTTTTCTACTTTTGTCTGTCTGTCTGTCTCTCTCTCTCTCTCTTTCTTTGTCCTACCCCCTTTTTCTCTTCTTCAACAATTTAATTAAGGAAGATTTTTTCCCTCAGTAGGTTGCCATTTTTTTCTGTGGTAGACCAGTTGTCATCCAAAGCCGTAGAACCCGGTCTGTTCTGCTATTTATCCCTAGCAGACGAAGAGAAGAAGATTCATACCTTTCCCAAGCACGTAAATGAATGTAAGGGATTCGACTGGAAATTGAACTCGGCTCTCCGATTCTTCAATCCGTGCCTGAATTAATTTTTTAAAATGAAATACTGTAACAAGACGGCATTTTTTCCATCCAAAATCGCGTCCAAAATGTCTGCTGCATCTTATACTTTAGTTTAGGATTCAATCCCATTTTATTCAGAACTCAGAACGGACAAAATCGGGTTAAACTGGATTAATGTGTTTCCCAAGGAGATAAAATCTATCTAATGACATACGGCAACAAAGGGAAATAAATCTTTCATTGATTTTCCAAGCGCAGCTTAGATGTGGCACAAGGCCGAAAGTATGGAGCAATCAGTGAGGATCAAACTCACTTCTCAGACGGAATTGATCTAGCGAGACAAGCTTGTTAAGCATTGCACCACGTTGAAGTGGCAAATCGATTTCTTTAAGCGTAGCTTAGATGTGGCACAAGGCCGTAAGTATGGAACACCCAGGTAAGATCGAACACACTACTTATTCGTAATTGATCTAGCGAGACAAACTTGCTAACCATTATACCGTCTGAAGATGCCCAAATCTTTCATAAGATATATATATATATATATATATATTTGGTTGGATAGATGTGAGTTTGTGACCCTGGGTTTCACGCTTTAGCGATCGTCAGACAACGCGCTTTCTAATAAGTACCGCGCATATAATATATAAATAATTATACATATATATATTTATTTATATTTATATACACTTTTCACACACACACACATATATATATATATATATATATATATATATATATATATATATATATATATATATATATATATATATATATAATATATATAAAGTTGTAGCCTCCATCTGTCTGTTTGTTTGTTACCGAACTCCTCCTAAGGTTTTGAGATAGACCCCCATAAACATATATATTCTGAAACTAAATTACTCAGGGTACTTGGATAAGTATATTTCATTTTGATCAAAGGGAGTCTCCTGTGGGGCGGGCGTCACAAGCCCTCACTGTAAAATTTTTCCCTTTGATTTAAATTAAATTTAAATTTGAACAGGGGAATGACTCCTATCCAAAATATAGAAGGAGAAATCCAGAAGATGGAGGTCACATCATCAAGATCAAAACGAGACAATATAGACGTCAAGTTAAGCAAGAAATCACCAATCAGTGGGTAGTGCCTTACAATACGTATTAGTTGCAACAATTCAACTGCCATATCGGTGTTGAAATCTGATCATCTATTCATTCAAAGGGGTCAGATCAAGCCGTTTTTATACAAAATATAAAAGGTAAAAGTCAGAAGATGGAGGTCACATCCGTAAGATTATTGAGCAATATTGAAATTGCATTATTTTTCTCCACAAATTATAAGAATGATTTAAAATAAAATCATCATTTTCTTACAAACAAAATAAAATAAAATAAAAAATGCGTGACACGCACCAAGACGCAAGTAATTCGGTAAGTTTGTTTGAAAATTTTAAAAAGTTTGAGGAGGTATTGACATGTTGAGAGAATTAAGTCCTTTGAATACTAGAGTTTTTCAACATTTACTCATAACCTACATGTCAAAAACGCTTATTATTAATTGTTTAAATAAAACCATGGGCAGCTTTAGTTAGAGCATCGTACACAGCATTTTGAAATTTTTCGTTACTAGGCGCGATTTATATATAAAAATAAGCTGGAATTTCTCTGTTTTTTAACCGCGTATTATACCCACGAGCCACCTATACACAAAGAATTACAGTTATTAAAGACAAATACATATATAGATAAAATAAAAATAGGCTCTTCCAATAATTCGCTGAAAAAAGCATACCATGATGAAAAAGATCCCAAACTTCATAGCTTTATCGTCAAAATGTTTATGTTATTACTAAGAGGGAAGACCAAATTAATTTTTAATTAATTTAAACCTTGAGTATCTTTTTTGTATCTTTTGGAGGTAGTTAAATAAATAAAATTATTAAATGATTAGTAGTCATGAATATTACGATCGTGTCAATAATTTAAATTTTTTATGAACATATAAAAATAAATCGGCCAATTAAATATTGTGAGCATCTAATTTTTTTTTATTTTACTTTTAATGTCTGAAATTTTATTGAAATCGAATATTTAAAATGAAATAACAAATTAAATAAATAAAATTAGAAAAATATTTATATAAAAATAAATAAATAAATAAACAATCGGTATTTTAGAATTTTACGAAATATGTTTAATATTCTTAATTATATAACCGTGATAGAATTTGCTGAGTTATTTTTGCCGAATTTTTTTATTTGCTATTTTTTTTTTAATTTTCCTACATTTTTAAAAAAAATTTATTTGAGACAATTTTTATTTTTATTTTTCTCCGTTTTTTTCTCACACAAATAAATCTTTTAACGACGAAACCATAAAATATAAAATCGGGCAATTTAACTTGAATATTACTATATAAAAACCACTTTTGAACATTTAAATGTTGCCACGTAATAACGTGTTTTAACATAGAACAGGTTTTAAATTTCTTTGGTGCCTTACGCTTAGCGTGTTTTATGTAGCATCTATAAATACGATATTTATTAATGAATATAAGAGATGTATCGGACCCTGACGAGCGACGTATACCGTAGGCACAAAACTAGAAGTTGGTCGCAGGTCCTTTGAACTCTACTTCATCTGCTGAATATATATATATATATATATATATAGATTGATAATATTAGTGGAAAATATACATACATATGAAAAATATATAAAAAAAAAATCCATACATATATATTTTCAGAAAAAATTTTTCCAAGAGGAAGGATCCAGGTAGAACTCAATGTCTAGGACAGAGTAAAGATATAATAAAAGGCTTAAACACTAATATTCCATGGTCATAATTTATTCCATTGGAATCGTAAATACGATCCAAATCATCAGACCTACAAATTCAAAATGAAAACAGAAAAAACAACTCCGAATAAAAAACGAATTTAGAAAAGAGTCTTTCTCTAAATTCGTTTTGATTTCCGGAGTTGTTTATATATATATTCGCCTGAAGATGAAATGGAACTAATGTCTTTAATTTAATTACAAAATTAAATTCGGACCTTCCATTTTTCAAACATGGTTAGAACTGTGTAGAGAAAAAAAAACATATTTTAAATCAATTAATTTATAATGTTAATGCTCTGTAAATTTACATTGAGCACTATTTTGTAAAAATAAAAATATCTATAAGAATAACGGATTATATATCTTACTGTTCTTTCTTTATAAGAGAGAGAGAGAGACAGAGAGAGACACAGAGAGAGACACAGAGAGAGGAGGCACGGTTGAGTAATGGATAGCGGCATGGATTGAGGAATCGCAGAGCCGAGTTCGAATTCCAGTCGAATCCATTACATTCACTTACGTGTTAATACCCTTGGAAAAGGTATGAATCCTCTTACTCTCCCTCCAGCTATGGGTAAAATAGCAGGACAGACTGGGTTCTATAGCCTTTGATGGCAACTGGTCTAGGAGTAGGACAACTCTGAATTTAAAACCTGCGGAGGGTCGTTTGGGGTCCTTGTGGCATTCGGTGCACCAGGTCTCTGTATTCGTCCCTTCAAAAAGTGTGGATGGTCCTGCACGAGGCCTTCACCACTATAATCAGATCTCATGTGCCAGTGTCGGGCTGTCGGTTTCCTAGAAACTGATCTGCTTGACCCTCATACGTCGAATCTCGACGGGAGAGTCGATTATTATTATATATATATATATATATATATGTATATATAAATAAAAAGAAAGAACAGTAAGATCCAGTGTTCTTATAGATATTTTTATTTTTACAAAATAGTGCTCAATGTAAATTTACAGAGCATTATTATTTTACTTGCTCTTAAAAGAAATATAGTATATTAAAAATTAAAAGTGAAAATATTTTTCAAATTGTAGTTAAATAAAACGTTTTCTAACGTACCCCCCCAAAAAAAAATCTTTAAATATACAAATAGAAAAACAGCCGTAAGAATCATTGCCGTTAGCAATAAATTTTTTTAAAAAACCCAGACGACATGCATTTAACGGATGTCAGATTTCATTGAAGAGTACATCCCTACACCCTGCCAAAACGTAACTAATAACGGATACATCAAAATACAGACACAATGAACACGCAGACACCCCCTGTCTGGTCGAAGTGGATTTCTCTGTAACCATGGAAACATGAATTATAATTTTAGCTGTGTCTTTAAAAACCCAGTAATTTTAAAGTTACTCCAAAATTCGCTTGAGGATGAAATGGAACTAATGTATTTAATTTAATTACAAAATTAAATTCAGACCTTTCATTTTTTGAAACATGGTTAGAACTGTGTAGCGGAAAAAAAAAGCATATTTTAAAATCAATTTATATATATATATATATATATATATATATATATATATATATATATATATATTAATGAATCATTCATACAAAATGTAGATTAGTAAAGTTAATGATATAAAAAAATGGAAAATCTTTCGCAAACAAAATTTTAAAGTTGCAATAACCTACGAACCACTCGATGAATGCTATGACCTTTTTTTTTTTAATAATTATGAGCTGTATAAGGTATAAAATTAAATGCGAATCGAAATATCTTCTTTTTTTTTAATGTGTTATTATTAACGAATACAAACTTTTGGAGCGTGCAGTCGCAACGCTAAGGTTTTTAATTTTTTCGTCTCGGATGCTACCTGGATTTTACTAAAAACAAAATGATTTCCATGCCTGAGGATGACTGAATGTAAAGTCGAAAGTACTTGCGTATTTAAGAAAGACCTTATACAGCTTATAATTATTAAAAACAAGGATCATAACATTCATCGAGTGATTTGTAGTTTAATGCAACTTTAAAATTTTGTTTGCGAAAAGATTTCTAATCTACTTTTTGTATTGATGATTCATTGTAATATAAATTGAAATGCATCACATATTTTATATATATATATATATATATATATATATATATATATATATATATATATATATATATGAAGAGGTCATAGTTGTTCCAACGAGAGAAATGTTGATATTTTAAAAAAGAAGATAAACCACAAAGGTTTTTGGTTAAAAGGTGGATTTTTTTTAATTTTAAAATATATATATTATACTCTATTTCCCATAATTTTGCTACATGTGTTTCTGATTACGAGACATTCTTCAGGCAAAGAGTAGATATTTCCACATTATACAAATGAATTTTTTGCGTGGCATTGATTCAAATTTCTGTCTTGGACTGGATATAGTATATATATATATATATATATATATATATATATATATATATATATATATATATATATATATATATATATATATATATATATATATATATATATATATATATATATATATATATATATATATACTTTATCAACATCCGGTCGATTTCTCTTGAGAAATGTGTAATTTTCAAAACAGTGGTGTCATACCGTTATTAACGCATTGCTCTTCAACAGATTCGAATTGAACTCTCCGGGCCACTGACGTAGTTCACATAGAAAAATTTTAAATTTTCGTCCGCCCTGCGACGATAGCCTAGGGGTAGAATCTCTGACTGATCTCAAAACGGTCAGGCTTCGATTCCGGCTTGAAGCAATCGGGCGTATAGCCACTGCAGAGTATCTGTGGATGACTATATATATACACGTTTTTGAAAATTTCAAAGAAAAACCTTACATTTAGATTTTTTAGTTATAAAATTAAATTTATATCAGCAGTTGGTTTACAATGCATCTTCAGACTGGTTTAAATTCACCAAACACAGGAAATAAATTGTTTTAAAATTAAGAAAAACTGTAAGCTAACTGCAGAAATAAATTTTAAGTTTATACCAGGAAAATTCAGATGTGAGATTTTCCTTTGAAATGTTTCTTAATTATATTTCTCTGTATGATTTGTTATTATTCTCATACATTGAGCTCTCTATCGGTATTTTTACCTGAATATTCATTTTTTTAGGAACTCTTTTGGATTATCCACATAACCAAAGGATTATATATATTTTATTTGACAATTTCTCGGACATTCAGGCCGGTAAATGTTCTTAATACTGTTTATTATAAACAGAGCATTTACTTAAATATTTGTATCTATAAAAAAGAATGTATAAACATAAAAATGTCTTAAAATAATTGTCGGACTTTGTCCATTTCATAATGTGTGACGTCATTTGTTCACATTTGGATACGCATCGAGCAGATATGAATGTACGTGAGAGAGTCATAGAAGATTGTAGTTTAAAAACAGTAAAATCGACCTCGTCAATCGAACGATTCCCTGTGACGAAATCGGTAAAAGCACGTCAGGCTATATAACAGATCCGTATAGTATAGTTTCGATTCCTGTCGGAGGGCACACATTTTCTATGACAATTTCTCGGACATTCAGGCCGGTAAATGTTCTTAATACTTATAAACAGAGAATTTTGTATCTATAAAAAAGAATGTATAAACATAAAATGTCTTAAAACAATTGTCGGTCTTTGTCCATTTCATTATATATATATATATATATATATATATATATATATATATTAACAAGCCCAATTGTCCCTGTGCCATCAGTCACATTTTGGAATACACTTGTAGATTTATTCAGGATTTTGAAAGATTTTATTTTGATTTAATTTTGTTCTCCTCAAATAATGGTGATTTTTCGATAGTTCGATCTTCAACACCATGGGTATTTTATTTCTAGGCCCCTTGATTTGGTGGAGGGGAACATAAGGCCGTAACAACAACTCTCCAACGGAAGCTCCTTTTCAGCTCGGCCCATGTTGTGCAGGCTGCCTTCAACTCTGCGTCAACCAAGTCTGTTTTGGTCGACCCAGTTTTCGCTTCCTTTGTGGATTCCAGTCAAAGGATTGCTTGTTGACACTAGAAGCAGGCTTGCGGTGTGTGTCCGATCCATCTCCATTTACGATTGGGGCTTGTTTTGTCCTCTTTCGCAGTTGGTCGTTGGAGACGACTTCCGGCCACCTGATATTGAAGATGTTCCTGAGACATCGGCTGGTAAACGTCTGAAGTTTGTGGGCGTTGGGCTTGGTTAGCCGCCAGGTTTCTGTGTCGTAAAGTAGAACCAACTTAACGTTGGTGCTGAAGACCGGATCTTGTTACAAAGTGAGAGGACTGTTGATTTCCAGATTAGTCGCAGTGTGTTGAAAGTGTATCGGAATTTGTTGATTCGGCAATTGATGCCTCCCCCCATCTTTACTGACGACGCTACCCAGGTGGACCCTTCAGTAATTATAATTGGTGGGTACATTGTATGGATTCGTCAGCCACCCTCATTGTAACAACTAGAGTTAGCTAAGCGGGTTTAAATGTATATCTGGGCAGTATTACTATCTTTTACACATATTTCATTGTAAGTGACTGACAAGGAAAATTTTGTTCATTTTTATTTTTATGAGGACGAAGAGTGCGTAGAAAAGGTTTGTATCGACCACTGATCCAAGCGCTTTCGTCTAGCTATTTTCAAGGGCTTCGTTGTTAGCATATTTTCCTTTGTTTAATTTACCCCAAACAGTTCGAGAAAGCCCCTAATTTGCAAGAAGCGACCGCAAGTGAAATAAACTGGGAAAAAAAACATTATATTTATACAATAACGGATTTTAAGTAAACAGAAGATTACGATTGACGTTATATTTAAATTTTTGAAGATCGTAGTTAACAGAAAAGCAAGAAGTCGGAAGATATCCACAAGTGAGAAGTGCCAGAGAAGAAACTATTAGCAGAGAAATAAATCTAGGAATGTCAACAGCAAAAAGATGAGACCTAGCTGCCAATCTAGTACTGAGCTTGAATTCATGTAGTAGAGGTACGAAAAAGCAAAGCTCACCGGATCTATCTATCTATCTATCTATCTATCTATCTATCTATCTATCTATCTATCTATCTATCTATCTCAATTTGTTATCTATCTATCTATCTATTTCATTCCGTTATCTATCTATCTATCTATCTATCTATCTATCTAATTCTGTTCATTATCTATCTCATTCTGTTCATATCTATCTATCTATCTATCTATCTCATTCTGTTCATATCTATCTATCTATCTATCTATCTATCTATCTATCTCATTCTGTTCATATCTATCTATCTATCTAATTCTGTTCATATCTATCTATCTATCTATCTATCTATCTAATTCTGTTCATTATCTATCTATCCTATTTCATTCTCTATCTATCTATCTATCTATCTATCTAATTCTGTTCATTATCTATCTCATTCTGTTCATATCTATCTATCTATCTATCTATCTATCTCATTCTGTTCATATCTATCTCTATCATATCTATCTATCATATCTATCTATCTATCTATCTATCTATCTATCTATCTATCTCATTCATTCTATCTATCTATCTATCTATCTATCTATCTTGTTCTATCTATCTATCTATCTATCTAATTCTGTTCATTATCTATCTATCTATCTATCTAATTTTGTTCATATCTATCTCTATCTCTGTTCATATCTATCTATCTATCTATCTATCTTCTATCTATCTATATCTATCTAATTCTGTTCATTATCTATCTCTATCTATCTAATTCTGTTCATTATCTATCTATCTATCTATCTATCTATCTCTAATTCTGTTCATTATCTATCTATCTCAATTTGTTTTCTCTATCTCTTTCACGCTATATATATATATATATGAGTGTGTATTTAATATCATCGTAATTGTTTCTAAGCATCCGGTTTGCACCAGTTTAAAAACTCATTTTCCTTTTTACTTTATATTTTGTCTTTTTATTTATTTGATTTCATTTTATTTATTCGGGTGAAAAATTGCAGGAAAAAAAAATTTAATTCCACCCTCTCGTTTTTGAGATTCATTTTCCTTCGGGGTTTGCAAATTCTCTGCCGGTATAATTTATTTTTCTGCCGTCTAAATTCGATAGGGCTTCCAGACAACCTGATGTCATTTGTAGTGTCTACGCACACCATTTTGCATGAGCGAAAAGAAAAAAAAACCGACAAGAACGGCCCGTTTGTCAGCCATTGCAGACTCTTTTGTTTATGAAAATGAATTTCAGGATATGAGTGGAGGTATATAAGATGAAAATAACGCGGGGAGGGGGAGGTGAAAATAAGCGACGGAAAGTGAGTCAAAATAAGAAGAAGGAAGAAAAAGACATCTGAACATATAAGAGTGGAAGAAGGGGTTGTTATGTTTGTGTGGGAGAGAACAAGCGATAGACTGTTTTCTAATCTTTTTCTTGCGTGGATCTCGAATCATTTAAGACTTTCTTCTTTTCTTGCGTTTATGTCTCTATTTTGGTGTGGGTGAAGGCAGACAACCATAACCTGAATACGTGGAAGACGATTTAAACAAAGATTTCGGTATTTAAACAACAACAAAAAAAAATGAAAAATAAAACCAGAATTTGAGTAATGGGGGCAGAAACAACAAAACACAGAATGAAATACATCGCAACAAACAGTTTCGACAAGAATGTCATTCTTTCTCTATGTGTGTCTCTGCCATTTTTTCATAATGTCTTTTTCCACACACATACACTTTGGTAAATATTAAGGTATTCGGAAAATAATTACCGTAATTCCCTATGTATAATACGTCTTCATACATAATGCGCACCCCTAAAATTGTGCTGAAAGTGTGGGAAAATGCTTCTACTCACGCATAA